ATGACTAGTAAATGTTGATAATTTGGAAAAGATTTTTCATAAAACTAAGACGAGGGCGCGCACTGGACAACTACTGAAAACATTCTACACTAAAAACTTTTCCTTTCTTTCTTTGAGCCAAGACAAGAAATTCATAATTCATCGAAAAGCTCGGCTTATTTTCTCATCAGTCTTGTTTTTAGTGTAAGTCCACGATTTTAATTTACGATTTCGGAAAAGGCAAAAGAGTCGTGTGAGTGCAAGGCCGGATGGCTTTTTCCGGACCTGCTCGCATCAACCCGTTCGGCCCTACACGCGTCAGTTTTCATTGTTGTTTTCTCCGGGATTGCTCGCAGGAGGCTGACCGGGTCATTTGATAGATATCCTTTGTGTGAGTCAAATCTTAGACTTTTTAGCGGCCGCAGCATCCCAGGATTGAACGGACTGTTTCAAGCTTCACGTCGGGGGGTACTAACGGGCCGTTTGTGTCACTTATTTATGTTTGTCCTGTCACTCTCAAGGTCTCATAAGTACTTCTTTTTATTACTGTCTGCCATACCATTCCTATGATGTGAGTTTTGAGAATTTATTATTAGATCAACTTATTATCCCCTGTTTGATATTTTTCTTTATTCTTATCAGTTGTCTGCTTGGTATCGTATTTATATTGTAAGGAGAAATTTTATCTTGGCCACGCATGGGAGTTAACTAGTTATGACCTTTAAGTCTCCCAACTAATTAATCATTTCATCCAACATTCGTTATTTATTTATTACGGGAAATACGAAACATTTTATCTGTAGATAACATAAAATCAATCAATGTGTGACTGTGAGGCTGTAAGTCTAACATTAAGCAGTTAAGCGAATTATTTACGCTAGTTGTAAAAGTTTCATTTCTCAGAAATGACTATTTTGAGTTCAAGGCTTTTGACTTATAGCTCATGACGTCATAATGACGCGCCACCGTCGTTACCGATCGGTTGGAACTAACCAGCGCCCTCCTTACCCAGAAATAAACAAAGCTCGGAGTATTTTGTCAGTGAAGTGTAATTAGACCTCAACGAATCAATTTGAAAATGAGCGACAACCTGCAAGCCATTGTGGCTATTAAGGAGGAGGACATCGTTATTGATGGAGTTCGAGTGAAGAAGAAGATAGCAGTTGTAGCTACAGAGCAAGGGTTAGTTGAGCTGATAACACTGCTTTAATTTAACATGTTCCGTTACACCGCTGCGTGCGTTTACGTCGTTAGATCTGATTTCCTGTTTAATCCCTGTAAAGAAGATCCTGTTTAGTCTCTAAAACGTTGATTTCTCGCAATAATTGTTTGTGCTTTGAGTGAATCCAAAGGTGTGATGCGAGCCGATTTGATTGACTTTGTTATAAGGCGGAAGTAATGCAGAGTCCTGAATAACATCACTATCTGTTCATTAAACCTTTTTAGCGTACTCATTCCGTAGCCGTGAATTTACCTAATCCTTTGTGCTTCTCATTTAAATCTGCTTGTATATTTTTTAATTTGGCAAAATGTGCTTATAAAATTGACGTGAGTGTTTTTGCATCTTTATCCTCGAAGATATGCACACCGTATTTACCCGTGTATAATACGCAGGTATGTGGATCAGATTTCAAAGTGAATATGCAAATTTGGCTGTGTGTAAAGAGACCTCAAAATGAATGTGAGCACGAAATATTTTAGGACAAAGCTTTTTTAAAGCAGTTCTTGATTTGCTGTTAGGAGCGAAAAACGTGCAAATTTCTTACGTGTACAAAGCCCACGCAGTGGAATTCATGGTGGGTAAATTGTTGTTTACTTGACCTTACGGCCAGAAATTTGTATAGCCATTTAACTGCACAGGGTTGCTTGTCTCGTCAATTCCACGTGCAACTACCGTGACTGCGACCGTGACAGATGTGGGTCACGGTAGAAATTTCGAGGCAATGCGGTTTTCCAGCAAAACCGAAGGTGTAATTTGTCGCATTTTCTAGAAATGGTCAAAACTGAACAGTTCTTTACTTTTTTTTCCGTAAAAGTGAACTGCTCACTATGAAAATCTTGAGTTAAATATACCATATAAACAGTCCACTTCAGGCGGCGTGAATTTTTTAATGATTATTGTTTTTATTTTTTAAATTTCTATTTCTAGTTTATTT